ATTTTGCAAAAAAGTAATCTTTATTTTTAAATATAATTGTACAAAGTTTTATTTAAATATTTTAGCATTTTAAAAAAGTAAATCAGAGCTAAAAAAAGTGTAAAAATACAGACAAATTTGCCTGCGTTGGTCTATATATTAAGGGATAAGACATTTAAAGCCAAGTAGACCAATCCTTCTGGGCTAACTAGTTTGGTAGTTTGAAGAATTCAAAGGTACAGTTTAGAAAAAAGATAAGAAACTGGTACTAAAGTCTAAGCAAACCTTACAAAGGCAAAAGTAGTTAAATAGAATCATATAAAGTTAAGAAACTGCAAATAAAATCCTACACTGCAATATTAAGGACCTGAGACATCAATTGACAGACTTAACAGCATGGTTACAACTACAAGTAGGAGCCTCACCAACTGCAGAAAGATAATTGTGAGTAGGTATACAAAACCCTAAATCTGGGCTGATCTTGTGATCATATCCAGTAGATTTAGATCATAGGTAAATTAGAAAAACTATAGATATTTAGATATATCTATATAGGTAAAATCTGTATAAGGTAAATCTTAGATATAGATTGTTAAGTACATAGCTCTAAGTTTTAAATGCAATTAATTAAATTATGTTATTCATATAGTAATACTATATAAAGTAATATACAGTATATTAAAAATTTAATAAAGCATTAAGATCAAGATCTTGCTTTAAAAAAAAAAAAGAATCTCTTTTTAAAAATTTCTAATTCAAACTTGTATTTACTTGAACTTCTTATAGTAAGTATATTTAAATATTTATAGAATTCGTATTTATTAAAACTTGAATATAAAACTTATTTGTGAAAAGTTGGGTGCTTAGACTACTAGACTGCAAAATTTTAATCCCAATAATAACAAATAATTTAAAAAGCTATCTATATTTATAACAATATACAGTAATTTAAAAAAACTATTATAATATGTTATATAGTTGTGAAATAATATATACAGAGATGTAATTTTGAATTTTAGTCTAAATTAAGCTTAATTTAGGCCAAAATTTAAAATAATGTTATTGCATATTATTTTTTAACTATATAATAACTAAATTATTGCTATTAAAATTTTTGCTATATAGTATTTAATAATATTATACTAAACAATCTAAAAATTTATTTGTATTTTATAGCAATATAATATAAAAAGCTATTGCTATATACCAAATTTATTTATATAGTAATTAATAACAAAATTTTTATATTTACTTTTTTATAGTTATTAAGCAAATTTATATACTTTTTTATACTATATCTATAATTTGTTTCAAAATTAAAAATATACTTCAAGCTTTTAATATAGTTATTTAGCTTTATTAAAAAACTAAAAATATAATATTTTGATAATTGTAGTTAAAATATTTATAAACATGTTTTTTAAATATATAACAAAAAAAAAACTAAAATAGCAAACCAAGATAATCAAAAAATAATTATAAAAAAAAGTTGTATAATCTTTTTTAAAAAAGTAGTAATATGAATTAAAATAATTTGGTATTATAAAGGCAAAGGTTTCAAATATAATTTTTGCATTATTTAATACTAGATAACTGTATACTGTTTTACTATTCTGCACTATAAGCGTTTAACACTATAGATTTCTATGTTTCTAAGTAATTAGGGTTAGAAATACTAAGTAAAAGTATTCAAAATCCCCAAAAATCTTGTGTAATCTAAAATTTAAACTATTATACATAATCTTCTTATATATCTTGAATCTAAATTTTAGCAAAAAACATATTAACACCAACAACAGCATAGATGCACAACATAATATCCGAACTGTATAATATCATCATGCAAATCGGGAATGGAAGATCCTAACTTCAATTTCTGAATTAATTTTTAAAGAATTTTATTATCATATTTTTTTAAAAAAATTAATACCTTAATTTTCATAGCTTATATCTCGATTGATTTTTAAAGCTATCTTATGATTTAATAGTCAAAGAAAGCCTACGATCCAAGCTTCCTTTTGAATATAAAGATAGCTTCAAAATTCATCGAGATATGAGCTGTGAAAGTTAAGGTATTAATTTTTTAAAAAAATGTTAATCTGCCTTATTTCTATTGACAGCAGCCCATATCAATATACTGTAACTTCTTTATTAATAAAAAAATATAGCTTCTGAAAATTTCAAATTATTTTTCAAAACTGAAAAATTGTGGTCTTTTGTTAAACATGAATAATATTTTATCTATATATAATTTTGTAGTAAAAATATTGTTGAAATTGGACAATTTTAATTTTAATATTGAAATATTTATAAAAGGCGTGATAGAAAATCTATAAAAATTGCATTAAAAAATTTTATAAGAATTATAGAAAAAACTCAATAGTCCAATGTGAACTTTATAATTTTGTAATAGAACATAAATTTTCTGGTTCAAAATACTTCTATACAATGAATAAAAAGAAATTGACGAAAGGTAAAAAAAGAGTTACTGAGTCAGAATCAATAAGTTACTTACATTAGCCGATATCAAAAACTTATTGATTCAGTCATCGAGATTTTTCAGTTGTCCCAGAAATAATGAAATGGATGTAAAGACACAGACCTGAGCTGAAAAGAAATCCGAAATCAAAAAAAAAAAACTTTAAATCGACCTGAAAGACATGGAATTCAGCCAATCAATGCATGTTATTTGATTTAGGTTCAAGTCCATCTAAATACCCGGATTTGAACCCAAACCCAGTTTCAGGTCAGCTCCAGGTTTTCGGTTTAGTTTCGCGAAACAATACTACATGTGTATCATTTCGCAACTATATGATATTAGAAATAGTTTTATTAAAGTAGAACAGGTAGCATTAAGTTCAGAATCTAGATAATAAGATTATACAACTTACTATTTATAATTACTATCGTAAATGCTTACTCTTATTCGTAGGTTCATTTTTCTTTGTACATATGTAATAGCGAAACCTAATTATAACCGAATATTTTCTAAGTGATGTATAAAGATATGCTCAGGTTTACCAACTATATATATACCTGCAGTATTGTATATAACAATTTAAAATCACATGTTTTTACAGCTGACCAATCATATCGCCCTATCCGCTGAGAATCGAGAATATAAGAGTAGTTAAATCAGCCAATCACATGAATTCTTCCTATGAATTTTAGATTTGGTCAAAAGTTTTTTGGCTTACGAAATTTTGCTAGAGGCTTTTTAACTCGAGAGTCGTCACCTGTCAAAGCTCATGCTTTGATACCGTTTGTAGTTGAACAAACGGTAACCCTTTTTTTTTAATATCGCAATCTTTTTGATGTCATTTTTTAATAAAATTTTTAAATAGTCAAGGGGTGAGCGTTCATATGACATATTTTCTAGGCTTTTAAAAGAGAGGATTGTATGCTTGAATGGTCATGTAAGCTATGTATAAAAAATATAAGAAATATCAGAGAAATTTTTTTTTTTTTTTATTTATCGATCGATTGAAAAAAAACATTTTTTGAAATTAAAGGTAGACGATAGTGTAGCAGCTGTAGTTGTAGCTCAATTGTTATTTCTTGAAGCTGAGAATCCAGAAAAACCGATCAGCTTATATATTAATAGTCCCGGCGGTACTGTAACCGCCGGTATGGCTATTTATGATACTGTAAGATTGTTTTTTTAAAAAACATTGATGTACTTGATATGTACTCACATGATTTTATTTATTAAAATTGAACAGATGCAGGTATAAATAAATTACTTATATACTTTAAGTAATTTTTTAAAAAGTTATATTATGTTCCATTTAATAGTACATTCAATCACCGGTATCAACACTTTGTAATGGCCAAGCATGTTCAATGGGATCATTACTTTTGGCTGCGGGTAATATCATTTGTTATTGTATTTATTTGAATTATTTACTTATAATAATATTATATCGTACAGGTGAACCAGGAAAACGTTATACACTTCCTAATTCTACTATAATGATACATCAACCAATAGGCGGTGCCACAGGTCAAGCAACTGATATTGCTATTCATGCTAAAGAGATACTAAGAGTTAGGGAAAGATTAAATAAAATTTATAAAAAACATTGTAATAAGCATACACTAGAAGAAATTGGTAATATTTCATAATTTTATCCGATTTTCATTTTATTACTATTATTAAACGTTTCAATCTATTAATTAGAAATCGCTGTTGATAGAGATTACTACATGACTGCTGAAGAAGCTCTAGAGTTTGGTTTGGTCGATAGGGTTTTGGAAAAAAGGGAAGTTATCCCACCCGAACAATTAAAATAATGCTTGGTGACATTATATTATATATATTTTTTGAATCGCTGTTCGATAAGTTTTCTACAAAAATAATGATAATAATCATTCACTAATATTTGATTGCACTGCATTGTATAATTTAATAATTTCGATAGTCACCTCAGAAATGTCTCCATTATAATTTCGTACGATGAAAAATATTTGTGTCAAGTTGAATGTAGATACATTAAAATTTTATTATAATTAAATACAAAGATATTAAGTTTGAAAGTGATTACTTGTCGATTCACAAATGAGTCTTTCCTCCAAGATGATACAAATATATAAAAAATGTAGGGTGCAGCATCACCAATAGTTTAAAATGGAATATGAAATCTAGAATTAAATTATTGAATATTTTAAATCATCATGAATTTCTATATCTTTCTAGTTGTGCAGTTAGATCTGTTATCTGACTACGATATGCGTCTCTCATATCTTCAATGTCTGCTTGTAACTCATCCACCTGTTCTGTCTTTTCACCCAATAACTCTAACGCAGTGTTATATCTACAAAAAAAGATACATCTTTTTAACATAACTAAAAATAAAAGTATTTTACATTTTCATCATACCTTTCATTTAATTCATAAAATTGGCGTTCCAGCTCAGTTACTTTTTCGGATTTTAGAGAACTACGTATAAACATAAAGCCAATATTAAGACAATATTTCAGTAGAAAAAACAAACAAAAACAGATCAAGAATTAAACATACAGATCTTCTATCTGAGTGGTTAGTTTTACTAGTTCATCTGCTAATTCGTCTAGTTTGCAAAATCAAAATTTTGTTCAAAATTCATTGCTACCCAATCAACAAACTAATTATAGGATTAACTCACCTCTATTTTTCGTTGTAAGGTAAAGTTGAGCCTGTAATGTGCTAACTTGCCCTTTCAAGTACTTTATAGAGGAATTCAATCTCTCTGTCATTATAACATTACTTATTATGCTAGCTCCACCATCAATACTAGACCTATTAGATCTAATACTTGAAGTTGGACTTTTTAACATTGGTGATGGTACTCCTCCCTCGACATGTTTCTCTAAATGTATTTCACTTATAGAACGTAACGAACTCAATTGCGGTTCACTTGCTGATCTTATAGGACTACCCCTAATAGAATCTACTTTCAATGGTTGTTTCTCTTCAGATTCCTTTGATTTAACTTCTTGTTCTGATCGTAATCTCTCTTCCCATTCATCCTGTTTTTCCTCAAGCGTTTGTCGTAGTATACAACGATATTGTTCTTCTACTTCTTTTAAGTTCTTTTGGTGACATTCTTCAGATGATTCAAGATTTGATGTAAGAGTTTCAATCTCACTTTGTAAGATAGGAATTCGAGCTTTAAGTGACTCTATCTCCTCATTTAATTGTGAATTTTTTTGTTGAGCCGCAACAAGTTCAAGTTCTTTTTGCTCAGAATGTGACGTCTGAGATGAGACAAGATGTATAATGATGTGTATTAATATTTATAGTCCTTTTTATAGATGCGAATTTCAAGAACCGGTTTTTTTTCTTACCAGTTCCCTTAATTGAGAGTTCAATTTTTTACATTCTTCAATGTATTGATCACGTTCAGCTTCCATTTCGGTTAACCGTATCGTAAGACTGTTAAAAGTATTTAATATTAAGCGTTACGAATTATAGAATATATAAATGAAACTAAGCAATATATTATATTTCACAAACTTATGCTCAATCTTTTCCCAATTTTTAACCGATAATGCATATTGTGTCTTTACATCTTCTATCTGTTTGAGTAATTGAATTCGATCTATTTCCCATTCTTCCGACGTCGAATCTCTCGCGTAATTCTCTGCTATTTGCAATTGTTGCTGCAACGCCTTTAAAATGAATTATTCAGAAGCGAAATAAAAATTAATTTATATCCTTATTAAAAAGAAAATATTTATTTATTACAAAACTACATAGATATCATACCAAGATTTCATGCCGTAAGTTATCTTCACGAAGACCAGCCTGTTCTTCAACTCGTACTAAAGTGGCTCTTAATTCACGAATCTGAACGAAAGAGAAATTATAATCTTGCCAATGAATTATACAATTTTATATATTAAATTGAAAATATGCTTGCTTCATTTCGTAAGGCAGTTTCTGTATGCTCTTCAGCGTGATATTTGACTATTTTTGATTCAGCATTCTTAGCTTCTAGTTCTTGTATTTGTATTTTAAGTTGTTCTATTGTATTATTCAATAATGCATTTTGTTCAGCTGCGTTAAGTAATTGACGTTCTCGTTGCTCAATTATATGCTGAAAATTATCAGTTGTGAATTGAGGTTCAACCGCTGATGCTCGTGAATCATGAGATGTTCTAGAACTATCAATACCATCTAATTCTCGAGATTGTGTATCAGAACTGTTTGAAATAACACTGTTTGTGTGAACAGATGTTAAACTCTCAGTTTCTAATTCATTTTTCGAAGATTTTGATTGTTCTATTATGTTATCTAGTATTGTCCTTGATTCTTTCGATTCTGAATCTTGTAAGTTACCAAATGTTGGTACTGGTTTTTGTGATCCTTGGTTTTGCGTTGATTTCGTTACCGTTTGTGAACTTAAACTTGGTGGATCAAGAGTCGTCACAAAACCAGTAATAGGATCTACATATACTTCTCCTTGATATATGCTACCTATTTATTTGATTGTACAATCATTAAATAAAATGAGATCACGGTGCGATTGACTAGAGCTTGTAAACTAAACACATACTTTCTCCTAAGTCAAGAGCTTTGTCAAATTTACTTTCAACAGTATTCATCGCTTGTTTAAGCATACTTCCCCATGAGCCACTTGGCCCACTTGTGTTAAAGAAACTCATTGTCGTAATAAAATTTTTATGATTTAAGATTTATTCAAAGCTATTGTAACGATCGCTCATTTTACATATATACGAAATTTTCTTGTTCTACGATTCGTGTAACACATAGTTACCTTTAATAATGTTTGTTTTTAACAACAAATTCGTGTCAAATTATGTAAATTAAATGCAGCAGAAATTTGATAATAAAAGGCAAAGATTAGTGCTAGTGTTATTTCATGTCCTTTAGCTTTCTTTTTCGTTTAATTTTGTATTAACAATTTTATAACATGTCTATTATTACGGATGGTCTTTCACTTGCATCAAAAAAGAGTATTCGGGATGACTTTACAAATAAAATTCCAGAACTTAAGAAAACTTTAAATTCTATTACAGAATTTGATTACGAATTTATTGTAGATTTTAGTAAAATTCATGCTGATTGTATTAAAGCTGTTCCCGAAAATAAAGAATGGATAACTAAAAGTTTAGGAAATATTGCTTTTCAATATTTCGATTCTTTAATCTCTAATATTGACAAGGTTACCAAAAATGATGATTTGGTTCGTTCGGATTTTGTTAAAATAACCAATAATAGGGAAATTCATTTTCTTACTGATCCAGAAATTCAAAATTATAATGAAACCGTGATTCTCGATGGTAACATTTATATAAAAGCACGACCTTCAAGTTATGGTACTAATACTGGTGGTGTTGGATATAATATTTTAGATTTATTGAAATCTTCAGACGAAGTGTTACCTTTAGTTACAAAAAAGAATATTCGCGATAGTTGGGAGCAACAAATACCTTCTTTAAAAAAATCTCTCAAACAGGTTTTGGGAGAGGATTATGAATTTGTGATCAATTGGGAAGATGTTTACTTAAAAGCAACTTCGGCAAAAGAAGATAGTATTGATTGGGTGACTTCTCGATTAGGTGAAATTGTTTACGCGTATTTTGAATCTCTGATAAAATATATGAATGATTATGCTAAAAAAGATGATTTGGTTAGATCGGAATTTGTCAATGTTATTCATACAAAAAAGTTTTATTTCGTTTACGATGAGGATATAAATGATTATAATGCCATTGAAGTTAAAGATGGTGAATTGTATATCAAAGTTAAACCTGAATCATTAGGAACAAATTCATCCATTGGTTATCATATTATCGATGTGATTAAAGATCCAAATGACGTTCTTCCGTTAAGAACAAAAAAAAGTATTCGAGATGAATGGGAAAAGGAAATTCCTGGTCTCAAGAAACAACTCAAGAAATGTTTGGGCGAAGATTACCAATTTAAAGTAGACTTTAATGAAATTTATGTACAGATTGTTAAAGCCAATGAAGATAACACTAATTGGTTTTTCAGAAGCCTAGGAAATATCATTTTTCAATATTTCAGTTCATTAATTAAAAATATTGAAAATTATACTAAGAAGGATGATTTAATTCGTCAAGAATTTTTGGATTTGACCACTACAAAAATTTTCTATCTTGTGGTTGATAATGAAGTTGAAGATTATCATGATATTAAGATAATAGATGGTGGTTTGTATATTATGGTTCATCCTGAGAGATTTGGCACTAATGCATCACCTGGTTATGATATAGTTGAAAGACTTCATGCACCAGATTCAGTTCTCCCAGTAATTACCAAAGTAAATATTCGTGATCAATGGACCAAGAAGATTCCTGCACTAAAGAAAAAACTTAAAGACGCTGTTCGTGAAGAAATAGAATTTGTAGTAGATTTTGATAACATCTTTGAAATTGCAAAGAAAAATTCAAACGATGATGGTAATTGGCATAAAAGTCAATTAGGTGAAACTGTTTATGGATATTTTGAATCTTTGGTTGCAAATATTATTAAAGATGATATGGTTAGAGATAATTTTGTAGAAATTGTGACAACTAAGAAAATTTATTTGATCTTTGACGAAGAAGTCACAGATTACAACGATCTTTTAGTTAAAGATGGTGCATTGTATATTAGAGTTGGACCAAGTTATTTGGGCACTAACAGCAATAACATTGGATATAATATTATTGATGTCTTGTAAGCTCTAAAGATATTTAATTTTTAAACATCAAATTGATTGAGTTTAATGATTACATAGCAATTATTATTATTTATTATCCCATGTCTACTAATGGTCGCCCGTGATACTCTGCACTGATATTTTCACACAGCTGATCGTCCGTGAAAATATCAAAAATTATTCCTCGGGTATATATTTTATTTTTTGTATTTACAATTGTCTTAAATTTTTTATATTAAAAATTGTATTGCGTGAAGGTCATATTATGTAATAAACATTTAATTTTATAATTTTTATTAAACAGATTAATAAAAATAATTATATTGGTTTAATTAAACTGTAGCAATAATGCAAATATTTATTTAATTGTTAATAAAACATAAAGAATTATTGGTTTTAACCATTTACAAATTTCTATAGCTAGTTTTAAATTACTACCCGAAGAAACTTTCTTATAAGAAAATTATTGTGATAAATGAAATGTAATATTTGTAAATTGACAGTTATTAAAAATAGAATGTTGGAATTCACCACCTTAAATGCCTTGAACCATATTAATATCTTGTATAGCAATAGTATTTGTATTGAAATTAATATGAGATCCAGTAATTTTAGTAAGTACTGCAAAAGATTCTTGATTAATTGGGTTTATATTTAATGCTAGTTCTATAGTATTAATTAAAGTTTTCATTGTATTGATTTTTTGACTTTTATTAACAGTTTTATATGCACATATTCTTGTAAACTTTTATGTTCTATAACATTTATAATAGCCTCTTCTGGTATATTAGCATTCTGAAGTATCTGAGCAGCAGTTTTCTTTTAAAATGATTTGTTAAAGCACTATTTGAAAGTTTTACTTTTACTTTTTGCTTAATATTTTTCATAAAATTTCCTACTTTATTTAAATTACAATATGTTTTAAAATACCAAATATTAGGTTTTATACCAATTTTAATTTGGCTACAAATAGAAATTACTTTTTTTATTACAGTATAACTTGTCAAAACCAATACTGTCAAAACCGATAACCTGTTAAAACTAATAAAAAATTGATCTACTATCTCTTAATTAAATATAGTAATTTTACTCTTCAAACCTAATAACCTGTCAAAACTGATATAAATTTGGTTTACCATGTACATCAGTTTTGACAGGTTATACTGTATTATTATTATTAGATTTGCAGATAGATTACAATTTTAGTAATAAAAGTATAACTAGTTGTATATAAAACTTTTAGTTGTCTAATTTAAGTAGTCTGCTCTAAGATTCTATACTAGTTATTATATTTATAGCCTAACTAGAAAGCTATCTATTTAAACTTTTTGGTTACAATTCTTGTATTTTGCTTTTTAATCTAACTCAGATATAGCCTTACTACTTGTAAATATGGATCTATATAATATAGTACTACTAGATTAATAGCCAATTTAGAACTTTTTTTAGCTAATCCTTGAAGTAAATCTGATACTTTTTTTTTTTTTTTATATATTAAGGTGACCACTTAGGTCCCTTGGCACTTAGCTTTATTCAGATAATTATGATATTACATCAATTTCACGAGGATACAACTAGCCACATGTGTATTTTTGATACCTAATTTAAGTAGTCCACCTGGGTTCTACACTAGCCGCCATACCTGCAACCTAACTAGGAGATTACCTATTTAA